GGAGAAGGTGCCCTTTGGCTCCATTTGAACTGGCGCCACGTTCGTCTCGAGGTTTCAAAGCAGAGCTTTATCCAGCACGGTGATGCTCCTCATCATCTCCTTAATGTACATTGTAACAGCCGCTAATAAAATATAGATACACGTAATGGGCACAACCGCGTGTGGAGATGGAAACTGGCCCTCTCCAGGGCAATTCCTTGCTGCAGAGCAGCAGTGGGCTTTCAGGTAGTCCCAAACAGCCACGCAAACAATCACATTATACAACTGGCTGGGCTCACGGCAGGGGGATTATAATGGGGACAAGTCAGGGCTGTTTGCTCGTTAGAGGGAGTTGAGCCGGGTGTGTTTTCGCACCGTGATCCCAGCTGGAGCTCTGATGTGCTTCCATCGGGAAGTGGCACTGAAGGAGGACTGGTTGCCTCTTCAGGAAACAACAGCCCAGGACCTGGGCTGCCACAGCACTGACGTGCTTTGGGTTTGGCAGTCCCTGAGTGTCAAAAAGAACATCTCCTGCTCAACATGCCAGGGGACCTCCGCAAGTCCCACCAAGCAAAACATGCCAGATGTCTGCGAAGTGACACATGTCAAGCGGCCCCATGCCCAGTTTGGGCACCGTTCTTGCTATTTAGGCCGTCTTGGAAAGTGATGGCCTTCCCTCTGCAGGAGGACATCCTCCCTGGAAGCGAGATGCCCGTGTGATCTAACCACCTTATGGCAGGTAGGTTAGATCACCAGTGTCTCCCTGTTGAGATACTGGTGCCCAGAGGCTGTCAGGATGCCAGGAGGGTGCCAGCATACCCAGAGGGTGCCAAGATGCCCAGCAGGTGCTGGGATGCCCATAGAATGCCGGGATACCCTGGACACCCAGTATCTCCCTGTAGAGATACCGGTGAAAAGCAAGCCCTGTCCTTCCTCCTTGGGACCCTGCTGGCACTGGATGCATCTCTCACGGGGCATCTCGGCACAGGCCTTTCGGGCCTTAAGGGGCAGATGTTGGGATGCCTGCAGGATACCTGGATGCCCGCAGGGTGGTGAGTTGCCTGCCAGGTACTGGAGATACCCACAGGATAGCAGGATGCGTGGCAGTTGGGTGGCCAGCAGGGTGCCAGGATGTCTGCTGGGTGTTGGGGACGTCTGCCAGGTTCTGGGGTGCCCACAGGGTACTGGAATGGCCGCTGGGTTGCCGTGATGTCCACCGAGGATTCCCGGAGGGTGCAGGATGCCCCCAGAGTAGCGGGACGCCCTCCGTGTGCCGGTCCCGGGCTGTGGCGGGGCTCTGGTGCCACCTCGTGGGCTGTCGCCTCCCGGCGGCTCCGGTGTGGCGGGGGGAGCGGGCGGCACCGGCCCGTGTTCCCCGGGGCTGCAGCCGGGCTCTGTCCGCCGGGCTGGGGGCTCCGAGATCAGGGGCAGGTGAACCCTCGACCCTCCTCTGCTCTGCTCCAAAACCCCTCCTTGGCCAACCCTCCCAATATTTTCCTCTTTCGCTGCGTCCCGGATGCACAGAGACCCTGTCCGTTCCCTGCTGGGAAGAGCTGGTGCCTTCAGGAAAGGCGCTTCAGTGCAAAGCTCGCTGCTCGGGTCACAGGGAATGCCTCAAGACCCTCCCACAGGGATAGCTGGTTGTTTATTACCATCAGGCAGACAAACAGCTCAGCAGGAACCCCTGAGTCCTGATCACATCAGGGAAAAGAAATACTAGCAAATGATGCAGCATATGGCAACCCTTCATCCTGTCTTAGTGAGCCCAGTAAACCTCCAGAGGCTGAGTGGGCAGGGAATGCTGCTCTCTTGGGAAAGGGGACACAGTCAGTGCCCAGTGCCTCATTTGAGGCCAGGCTGGATGGGGCTTGGAGCAACCTTGTCTAGTGGAAGGTGTCCATACCCCTGGTAATAGGGTTGGAACAAGATGGCCTTTAAGGTTCCTTTCAACACAAGCCACTCTGCAATTCCATGTTTCTACGATCCTGCATGGGATTACCCAGCCCTTCCCTCCTTGCTCGTGCTGCCCTCACCAAACACCACTGGCTCTCCCCACAAATGGCTCAGAGCAGCATCACCTTGTACATGTACAGCTCGATGTGACCATGGTCCTCCTCTGCCCCCTCCTCTCATCCTCTTTGCTGAAACCAAGACCTTACAAATCCCCTGATGGGGCTGGTCCAGGCTCAGCCTTGCTCTCCAGGGTTTTTCTTCCCCCGTAGGTGGCATCTGGTCTCCAGTCATCTCCAGGGCTCCCAGCAGCAGTGTGCCAGGGCTGGAGCTGCACCAAGGGCAGGAGAGTTCCTGTAAGAAGCAGGAGAAACAATAATCACCAGACTGCCTCTTCCTAAAGTCAGAACTGGATCTAAACTGCCTGGAGGTCCTGGACTAGAGGGTAGGGGCTCTCTGCCAAGCCCCTTCCCACCTGCCTGGCCCTTTCCTCCCAGAGCAGCTCCTGCAGCCCCTGGTGAATCCCATCCTCCTTCCTCCCAGGGACTGTGACATGAGTTATAAACCCCAGCCCTGCAGAGAGGAGAAGAGGAGGTTAATCACCACCAGTGCTGTGCTCCACGGAGGGGATAAAAGATATCCTGGCTGGGTCCTTGGCCCTGCCTCCTGCCTTTGGCTGAGGTGGCTGTGGCCAAGCAGACATGGTGAGACTGTCCCCCAAACTTGTTTGTTCTCTTTCCTCAAAGGCCCATGGAGAGGAGTAACAAGATACACCAGCCCTGTGAAGGCAGGTGTTTATCTACTGCAGGTCTAAGCCAAGGTCTAAAGCCTGTTTCCCCTGAATCCAAATAAGCTGTGAAGTAGCATCCTTTCATTCCTTCATCCCTTTCCCAGCTCCCTGTGACTGACTGGAAGGAATCAGCCCTGCACCCTCACAGGAGGGCATCAGCTGCACTGATGGGCCAAAAGGAACATGCCAGAGGAAAAGCACATATGTATGTATTTGTATGTTATGTATATAATAAATATATATTAACATTTCAGAGCATAGAGCACAACCAGCCCCTCTAGGGCCTATTTAGAGCCTGGGGCTGGGGCTGGCCACCCTCCAGAGGAGCCCTGTGTTGTTATTTTGGAAGAGCAGCACCTTGCAGGTTCCTAAGCTACATGGAATGTCCTGCTCCAGCGGAGAGGCTGGAGGCACACTGGCTTCTCAGGACCTGCTGCTGAGTTAAAACCACTTTTGACAGCATGAGAGGGAGCACTGGGGGATAAAAGCAGCAGATAGGCAGCCTGGCAAGTGCCAAGAATACCGACTATGTCCAAAGAGCCGCATCCTGCTGGGAAGTTACAGCAACAACGAGCACCAGCACAAGTGATGAAAAGGCAGGAGACAAGGGAGAGTGAATTCAGAGGCCACAACTGACCTTGCAGTGATGCCAAACTGCAGATCCCTGCTGCCACCCCTGCTGGGTCATTGCCAGGAGAAGAGCGTCACCCTCTTGGAAATGTAGGTCCCTGTGGCTGAGCCAGGGGAAGGTGTTAAACAGGGATGTAAACAGGGTCCAGCATGGGAATTATGTAGTTATGTGAGTCTGGGAGAGAGACCTCTCTGATGGCGTCACAGGGGAAGATCCTGATGCCATCTGTATCCCCTGAGATGGCAGACACTGCCCCTTAAAGCCAGGGCTGCAGCCGCCAAAAGCAGCTTAAATCCCGCTGAGCACCGGGATAATGGGGCATGGCCGGGATGGAGGCAGAGCACGGCACAGCTGAGGAGCCTCTGAGCTGCCTGTGCGTGGCTTCATTGCCGGGCCCTGGCGGAGGAGGGGGCCGAGTCGTGATTCATCTGCCTCCCACACGTCGCCCCTCGCTGCAAATCCTCCCCGGAGATAATTGCTGTCTTCCTGAGTGGGTACTCCAACAGAGGGACCAGCCCGGCTGCGGGGCCGCAGTGACAGCTCGGGGCTCTTTGAAGATGCTGAGAGAGCTGCTAAATATGTAAATCTCGGCACACTGCTGTGGCGCTCATTTAATGGAGTTGTTGACCCTCCGCAGCTGTGTGGGAGCAGGAAGAGGCAGACCCAGCTAAAACTGTGGAATGCAGCATCCCTGCTTGACTATTCCAGCCACGGGCCGGCCTCTGCTCTGCCGGGCTCTTTTAATGGCTGGGAGCTGTTCTGAAATGCTATTTCTGAAGAGCAGAAAGCTGCTGGGTCATATTTCTGTTTTGATTCCATGAAAAAAATTAAAAGATAGGGGTAAGGGCATAGCCCCAGGTCACTTTGCCCACGGCTGGAAACTAAAGCAGGTCCTGAGCTGCCCTGGGAATGTCCCCAGTGGAGCAAAGCCAGCTCTGCCTCCTGCTCCAGGCTTCTTTCAGGGATGCATCTGGTTCACGGTGATAATGATGATTCCAACCCTATGCTCACGCCTGGGATAATCCCCTTTTTATTACATACGTCCCAATGGGGACAAATAATGCTGGTTCTGCCTGTCCACTTCATTATGTAACAGCTCCCAGGGACTGAGGGTTGTATGGGAGGGAGATGCTTGGTTTTTGGAGTAAGCTCCTTGGGGAAGAAACCTTATGTCTGACTCCCCCATTCCAGCTGACTCCCCTGAGAAACTCCCCACGGCTCAAGCCCAGGCGCTGATCACACCTTGGCACCACCAGCAGCCTCCCCAACCTCACCACAAAGAGAGCTCATCCACTCTGGGCAGGGCTGCCTTTAGCTTCCTGGCTGCCAGTGCTGTTGGAGAGGTCTGGATCAGGCACAGGACACCGCTCTTCTTTCCTGGCTAAGTCCCCTGCTCTCCCTGCAGAGCAGAGCAATCAGCTAAATGCTTTATCCCTCTGCAGCCAGTCACGCTGCAGGGGGGGGGGCAGGGGAGGGGGGAAGCCTAATGGGATCCTTGTGCTGGCCTGTCACCTTAAAGCCTCTCACCTCTCCCTGTCTTTCATCGGAGTTATAAACTCCTTAGGATGTCATCACGTGCTCCATAAATAACAAATGTATATAAGCAGGGGATGCAGGGGATGCAGCAGCCAGAGGAGGGGAGGCAAAACCCCGATCCTCCTCTTCTGCCAGCAGTGAGACAGCACCACCGGAGCCAGGCGGGCAGAGGAGCAGCGTGGGGTCCCTGTCTGGTAAGCACCCCCGTTTCTGTCCCATCCCTGGTGGCACTGACAGCCTTGGGGACAGCTGCTGGTCCCCTGGCCACTGTCACTTGCCCCTGTATGCCAGGATGGGGGGGAATTGCCCCAGAGAGGAGGGAGGTCGGTGCATGGAGCTTAGCTTGCTGAGAGTGATTTTGGTGTAGGAAAGGGCATGACTCTCATCCCAGCCCATGTCCCATCTCTACACTTCCAACACATGTTACCAAAACTCAGCTGTAGGGACTCTTTTCACTGAAACCCTCCGTGTTCTGGGTGTGGGAAGAACTCAAGCTCTTTTGCACAGAATATTTGACTTCAGAACTGGGTGAACAACTCCTTACTATCAACTAATTTAGAAAATCCAGCTTGAAACCCAGGCAGACATTCATAACTTAATAAAAGATGCTGTCGGGGAGGCACTGTGGAATTGCCTGTTAATTTACACGTGAGCATCTCTCTGGACCACGCAGATGGTCTGAGCTCTGGTGCACAAAAACAAGGGGCAGGGGAGGAATTTAGAGAGCAAGCTTTTGGTTTGCTGCTGCGACACAAAAATATGGGCTCATCTCAGGCAGGTCTGGCAAGAAGTTACAGCACAAAATTCAGCTCAGGGTATAAGTGACTTGAACAAATACAGGAGGATGTGTTGGAGCACTGGAAGACAGATGTCTTGAGCCAGGGAGAGAAAAATTTTCCTCATCGCTCGGGTTCTCACTTACTCTGTGACTTGGGATGAGTTTCTTTCACCTCTGCAGGGTGGATGCTCCCCAGTGTCACAGCAGTGCTGGTACTCCCTTGGCAGTGCAGGGCTCAGGGTTGTCTCTGGGGATGGGGAGCATGGCTGGTTCCTCTGTGCTCTGCAGGTTCTGTGTACCCCCACCTCCCCAGAGGACCTTTGTGTCTGCAGGGAGCTGAGAGGCAGAGCAAAAAATAATTTCAAAAAAACCAAACACATTTGTATCAGCCCTCCAGCTGTATAACCTGGATTTTGCCAGGAATGAAGTGCTGGAGGGGAAAAAAAGACAAGGAAAACAAGCCAAGGAGCAGCCTTTCCCCATCACCGACTACTGCTCCAGGCTGGTTGGGGTCCCAGGAAATTTCTGAAATTAGCTGGAGGGATCTGATTGCCCTTTCCTAGTAATCTCTAATGGGAAGGGAGCAGCCACTTACACAAGAAGCCTTGAAGCCCTCAGCTCTGTGAATGTTCCTGTAGAGACTTTCCATGATTTCGTTGTTCTCTTCATATGCTCTGGGATAAAGTCTTGCTCTCAGACAGTGAGCACTGAATGGTGGCTATTGGTGAGCAAACATCCTTGAGGAATCTGCTCTAGTGGAAGGCATCCCTTCTCATTGCAGGGGGGTTGAACTAAATGACCTTTAAGGGTCCCTTCCAATACAAACCATTCTATGATTCCATAATCCAGCTCCTTAATTCCCATGGCAGCTGAAATGCTGCCTGAGGCCATACTCAACTGACCTCTCTGCCCTGCTGTCCCTGCACAGCCATCCCAGGCCTGATCCAGCAGCATCCCCAGACCTTGCCCCAGGCACTCAGCACCACCCAGGATCAAACCACCGTTGCATTTTCTAGGTCCCCCGAGCCCACCCTCTTGCCTGCTGTGGGATTTATCCATGTAGATGAGTCCCTAATCCAATTAGCAGGATGAGAAGTTCCAGAAGATTTGATAATAAGCTCTACAAACACTATACCAAACCCCCTCCCCCAGTACCCTGCTCTCCCCTCCAGCTCACCCCTTTTACTTGCTTCCTGCAGGAGTATGAATCACCCATTTCCAGCACCAGTTCAGTCAGTCCTTGTTTACTGAAATGAGCATTGGGAATGCTAAATAATTCTCGTGCCAAGGAAACCCCTTTCCCTAATGGATCTGATCCCCTAGATACACATCCACTGCCAAAACAGCAGTTCCCCGAAAATAAATCCCAACACCACGCTGTCTCACCGCAGGCTGGATAAGATTGGCATTTCAAGCACCCAGCCCTCGGCATTTCAGGATGGAAAATTCCCAGCTTGCGCCAGTTCTGCCCTGTGCAATCTTTGTGCTGGTAATGCTTTTGTTTCCATAAATCCTATTAGCTGGAGGCAAGCCTATAATTAGCAGGGAAAGCCAGCACCTCTGAAACAATAATCAAAAATGACCTGGCTTTGTTCTGGCTTTGCTGCAAATTACTTGAATATTGGGCTGAGCAGAGATGGATGGATGGATGGATGGATCTGGGAGCTATTCCCACTATTTCTGCCAGCGAGATGCACACACTTAGTAAAGTTAGTCACTCAGTTTTTGGTTCTCTCTGAGTTTACTAACTTGGTTCACTCACACGTGAAAGCAGATTGAAGCTACAGGCTCTGATCCAGGTCGAGGGATTTGTCTGTGCCGTGCAGGACGGGTGCTGCCGGATGAGCTCGGTTGGTGGTGACCCTCCTGGGGGAACCCAGGGGTCTGGGGTCCCGTGTCGCAGGTGGAGTGTCCTGGCATGGGATGTGTCTGCTGGGATCATGCTACCCAAAGCTCCTGGGGCAGGGGGTGAAGCCTCAGGCACCTGCTCAGTCCTGTCATGGACCCATATCTGTGAGCATGGATGTGACCCAAGAGCCCAGCAGAGGTTAAGCTGTGTCACTTATCTGCTGAGTGAGCTGGAGAAGGGCGTAGATCCTGTCAGGTCGTGCTGTCTGGAGGAGGTGGCTCTGGGTGCCTGATGTGTGTCCGTGCCAGGGCACCTCAGTGCACACGCAGTGGCCCAGCCCTGACCTCTTGTTCAGGCACAGCCGTGCTGCTCCACAAACACAAGAGCATCACAGCGAACTCTCACACAGACATGCTTATTTTTGCAGCTTCTTGGTATCCTGCAGCCACATCCCACTCTGCCCACTCAGGGCACCAGCTGGACCTGCCCCAGGACTCTCCTGCCATGGACTGGGAGATGCTGAGCAGGATGCTCAGCCTCACACCTGCTCCAGCTCTAACAGTCCCAGCCCCTCTCCCTGCTCTATCCCACCACCTGGATCACGGAGCTTTTGTCCCCCTGGTCCCTGGGGTTTGCTCAGCCCGCAGCCCGTGTCAGCCTCCCATTCCCCAGCTCACAGCGAGGCCAGGCAGGGTCACTGTGGGTGCGTATTTGCTGTACACACACACACGTGTATAGGAAAAGCGGGACAAGCAGCCTAACCCTGTCTGTGATCCACAGGTATTTCCGGCATCTGACAGTGCTGGAGGAGCTTGGCTGGAGGAAGGGGCGCCCGTGCCGCCGTGTCTGGGAGCCGGCAGAGGCTGCCCCGAGCAGAGCAGTGGAAAGCAAGGCGGCAGCAGCAGCAGCAGGAGGAGGAGGAGGAGGAGGAGGATGCCGGCGCTCAGCGCGTTGCCTTTCCTGAAGCCCGTTCACCTGGGGTCGCCCCGCAGGTCGCCCGGGGGCCAGCGCCGGCACACGCTGCCCGCCAGCGAGTTCCGCTGCCTCAGCCCCGAGGACGCCGTGAGCGTGTTCGAGATCGAGCGGGAAGGTAACGGGGTGCCCGCGGGAGCTCCGTCGGCTGGACATGACCCGTCCCTTTCCTTCACCAGTCCCTCGTGCTCCTTCAGGGCACGCTGTGGTGTGTACCCTCGTGGGAGGGATACAGCAGCCGTGACTTGTGGCCAGGCCACCACGGGCTCCCTAATGAGGTGGGGGAGCTGTGGTTAATGAGCTGGAGAACCACAGCCCCAGCTCAGCCTGGGGTGGGGATGGTAGGAGGTGATGCCCTGGGCTGAGTAGGACCAGGCGAGTGGGGAGCAGCTCTCCCAAAACAGTCCTGTGAGAGCCAGAGGGCAGGATAGCAGAGGGGAAAGTAGGAGGAAGGACATCATGCTCTGCCTCCTATTGCACAGGGACACTTTGAGATGAACTCTCTGTCCTGCTCACCCCAGCTTCCCTCACCCGGACTCACCCGGCCCATTTCTCCCTCCTCTCCAAGGCCAAAGGCAGCTGGAGAGATGCCAGGAGGGAGGGTTCAACTCAGCACTCACTGCTGTAGCTCTGGAATTAGCAGTGAGAAGAGAGAGCTGGTCACTGGGCCATGGAGGCTGTCTCTGGAGAAGCTGCTCCCTGGAAGCATCCATGTCCCTTAGAACTCCTTTAAACCTGGCAGGCAGCAAGAGACACGCCACCTCTCTCCACCACATCCTGCTTTCCCTCCCCTACATCAGTGCTGGGAGGTTTTCTGACTCTGGGTGTCCTTGGGCCTCCTCACTGAGCTCACCGTTGTCCCCCTCCAGCCTTTATATCCGTCTCTGGGGACTGTCCCCTCCACCTGGATGAGATCCGCCACTTTCTGAACCTGTGCCCAGAGCTGTCCCTCGGCTGGTTTGAGGAAGGGCGGCTCGTGGCATTCATCATTGGCTCCCTCTGGGATCAGGAGAGGCTCAGCCAGGTAAGACCCTGTTCTTCCCACCTTGTGCACTGGGAGAGGCATTGCCAGAGCCTGGGGAATCAGGGAAGCTCCCCGGGGTCCCGAGACTAGTCACCAAGTCTTCTCCCAGAACTAACCGCTACAGGGCTGCTCTGGTGGAAATGAACCTTCTCAATAATTAACTTGAACAATGCTGTTAAAAAATCTACCAAGTAATTCCCCCCCAAACGTTCATCTTAAAATTAAAAACCCTCTAAGGATGACGGGGGGGGAAGTGAAGTGGGATGGCACAGGGACCCTTTGGGGAGGATGTGGACCCTGGGCCACTGGGGTGGGGAACCAGCCACAAGCAGGATGGTCCCACTAACCCCCGCTCCCCTCGGCAGGCAGCGCTGACCCTGCACAAGCCGCAGGGCACGGCCGTGCACATCCACGTGCTGGCCGTGCACCGCACCTTCCGGCAGCAGGGCAAGGGCTCCATCCTCATGTGGCGGTACCTGCAGTACCTGCGGTGCCTGCCCTTCGCCCGCCGGGCCCTGCTCATGTGCGAAGATTTCCTCGTGCCCTTCTACGAGAAGTGCGGGTTCGAGGCGCTGGGTCCCTGCGAGGTGACGGTGGGGGACCTGGCCTTCATCGAGATGCAGCACTCGGTGCGGGGACACGCCTTCGTGCGCAGGAACAGCGGCTGCTGAGCCCGCTCCGCTCCGTCCCGGCTTGGGAGAGAGGCTGGGGTGGGATAAGAGGCTGCAATCCCTCTCCATCCCCCACCCCATCCATCTTCCCCGGCTGGCCCTGGCTACAGCTACTCCCTCTGCCACATCTGCCTTCCAGCCACATCAGCCCGGCCCCATCCCATCCCTGCAGGGCTGGGCACAGAAATTCCTGTGCCTGATCCTGCTGGAAGCAGCTCTCTGGGTTCTGCTGGTGAGCCCGGGTGGGCTGCAGGGCCACGAGCCCCCTGGGAGCAGCTGGGGGGTCCTGGTGGTTTAAGGGCACTTACACCCACCACGGTTTGCTGACACACCCAGCAGAGCCCCTACATACATGTGAGCCCAGCCCTGCATCCCCTCCCACCGCCACAAGTGGAGCACACCCTTCTGCAAACACCTCAGGCTGTTGGGAAGCAGCAAATAAAGATGTGGCAGTGATTTTCTATAAAGCCCATGTGTGTTCCTGCCAGAAGGAGGGCACCAGCTGGCCCCAAGAGGAGCAATCCAGCATCCTTTGAGGCACTTCAGCCTCAAGGGAGAAGGGGAGAAGAATCCAGCCTCGGGTCATTCAGTGAAGGGTGAGATACAGGCAGGGGTGGCTCTGCCCAAGGGCAGGGTCAGGAGAGTCCATGGATGTGGGTGTTTGACTTCTCCTTCTGCTCGAGACCCTCCAAATCCTGTCCCCTCCCAGGGAGGGGTTTGAGGGGCACACCAGGGCACCAGCCCCAGGCACTGCCCACTCATCCTCCCTCCTTGCCACACCAACCATCACCAAAACAACCAGAACCACACAAAAGTGGTTCACATCCCCAGGCCTGGGAAGGGAGAAGAGGCCTCGTGCGTCTCATTAAATACAGGTAGAAATTTATTAAGGGGGGAAAAAAACCCACAGCTTTTAAAAAAAGTATCAAAAAGAGACAAATGAGGTGAAGTGTCTGTCTTTGGCTGGAGCAGCAACTGGAGGGACTGAGCAGGGCTGAAAACTGGCCCCGGATGGAGGGAGGGATGCAGGTGCCAGAGGCTCCTGGGATCACCTGGCAAGTGGTTGTGGAGAGGGAGCCAAGCTCCCAGCCCTTGAATACTCATCCCAGGATATCCTAACTAGGGGATTTCCACCTGCCCCCATTTAAAAGCACTGAGGCCTCCAGCACCAAAGCAACATAGAACAGGGGAGAACATCCTGGCACCAGCCTGGGTCCAAACCAGCCCAGAGGGGTCACCTGGACCCCAGGAAGGACCTGCCTTCGTGCCATGGCTGATGGGAAGGCAGAGGAGATGCTGGGAGAGCAGCCCAGGACTGGAGGCAGGAAAGGGGGAAGGCAACTGCCCCAATCCTGCATTTCTCCATCTGACCAGCACTGTTTCAGGAAAGGAGGGTTACCTGGGTCTCTAGGCTTTGAAGAAGGGAAAAGAGTAACAGCAGGGACTCAAGGCAGAACGTGGAAGCACCAACAGCTTCTCAAGAGGTGTGGGGGCTTCAGGAGCAGCCACACAAGCCCCCCAGGGTGTTTTTCTCTGTGCCTGCCCACCTTACCATGGCACTACAAACATGGCCTGTGCCGCTTCTCCCCTTCCAAAAAGGGAATTTCACTGAAATAAGGGGAAGATAAGGCCCCTTGTCTCAAGTCCTGCCTCTCCATCCAGTGAGGAGTCAGGTGGGGAGGCACAAGCCTCCTTCAGGGCCTGCAGGGGAACAGGACTGAAAAATACATTTGAAGTTCAACTCTGAACATCTCAGAGCAATAACAGAGACTCCAGAAAGCCCAAAGTGGGGAAACCCTGGGCCTAAAGGGCTGCAGATAAAAAGAAGTGCCCCTGCAAAAAGGGGGTTGTGTTCACAGTATGAGCTGCAGCACCCAGAGGCACCAAGGTGGGACGGGGCCCAGGCAGGTAGGGATACAGGATACAGGCTGGAGACCTCAGCAGCTTCACCCCAGGGCTGGGAGTCCAGCCTGGCCATGGATACACCAAAATCCCACATCCTTCAGCCCCTTCCCCATGCAGGAGTCGGTCCAAAAACCACTTATGGCTTGTCAGCATCAGGAGGCAGCCCCAAAGGGGTGCAAGGCTGGGCTGGCTCAGGCCTGCTCCCCCCTGCATCCCCAGCATTGAGCAGGACCCCAAACCCACTCTCCCTGAGGATGAAGCTGTGCCCAGGGCCCGCCCCCACCCCAGAGCAGCTGCTGCCGTCTCCCCCACGGAAAAGCATCATTGCCAGCGCCTCTCCCAGCCCTGTCCCCGCCGGCAGGGTCAGTGCAGGACCTGCTCCAGCTCGTACTTCTCGCAGAACTTGCTGGTGAAGGGCAGGCAGGTGAGATACTCCACCCAGCGCCAGTTCACAGGGTAGGCGTAGAGCCAGACCACCAGCGAGGCGAAGAGCCCCACGAAGACCAGCAGGGACACGATGATCATGGCCCTCTTGCGGTACTTGTCCATCGTGCCGAAGGTGATGTAGGGCAGGAAGGCGAAGGAGAGCAGGAGGCCACTGAGGAAGCCGAAGAGGTGGGCGATGTTGTCGATCCAGGGCAAGAGGCCGCAGATGAAGAGGAAGAGGACGATGCCAGAGAGGTTGAGGAAGGCTTTCCAGGGTTTCTCCAGCACTTGCCAGCTCTGGAAGAGCTCCACGAAGAGACAGGCCAGGAGGCCGAACTGGGACCCGGCAGGGCCCACCTGCAGGGATGGGGGGAGTCATGGCCAGACCCTGCACATGTCACCCCAGACACGTCCCCATGTCCCCAGGGATCATCTCCTCCCCTTGCAAAAGTCATTTGGCTTCTGCATCCCTGTGCAGGCTTCTGTGAGGGGCTCAAGGGTGGGAGAGGAAGGCAGCACATCAGGGCTGTTTTGGCAGAGCTGATGTTTTCCGTGACTCAGCAGCCAGGAAGCATCACCTCCTCCTCCCAGACCACAGCCTCCCCCAACCCCATCCTGACGCACCCCCGGGGGGATTAGGGCGCTTGGTGTGATCTCATTTAAGAGCCTGAGAGGGTTTGGCTGGCAGCAGATTAGCCATCTGCCTGCCTGGGGACCCGGCACTCACAGGGACACGTGGCGACGTGTGGCACACACGGCATGTGCAAACACCACACGTGGGGCACTGACACCCTCTCCCCCTGCCACCAGGGTGTGCCAGCCCATCACCCTCCCTGCAGCAAAACCTGCCAGGGTATGAGAGCCCTGTGCTCCAGCGCCTTCCCCAAATCCCTGCCAGGACAGGGATGGAGAAGGGTGTTCTTTAGTCCCCGGGGAGCTGGCTGGGTTCAAGGTGATGTGAACAGACCCCCCAGGCCTCACCTCTGCCCTGTAGGGCAGGAAGATGGCACTGGCCAGATTTCCCGTGATGCCACTGAGGATGAAAATGATGGAGATGCGATGCCAGCCTGCCAGCTTCTCCAGGTCCCGCAGCACTGTCATCTGGAAAGTCACTGACACCAGGCAGTGGAGGATGCTGAGGGAGAGACCCTGTGTTAGAGACCCCTGCCCAGCCCTCCCACCCACTGCCCCAGGGCACAAGACATCTTACAAAGCACTCTCCACAGACAGCATGTGTCACTGCAGTTTGGGGGTGCCCTTCCCTCTTCTCTCCCACCCCCCGGGGGTCCCAGACCATCCCAGTGGACACTCCCATCCCCATTCCCCCCACCCCTGTGGGCACAGAGGGCTGCGGCTCACCCGGCGTGCAGGAACAGGGACAGCCACAGGCGGTAGAACTGGTCAGGGACCTCAGGGTTGAGGAAGGGCAGGAGCCCACAGACCTCGTCCAGGCAGTGCACCTGCAAAGGGAGAGGGTTGGGGGGGTGGTGAGGGCTCGGCCCTGACCCCAGAGCAAAGGATGGATCACAGGGATGTGCAGCCAGCGATCCATGTGCCAGCTGTGGGGGGACCCTGGGTGGTGTGGGGCACCCGCATTGCCCAGATGCTGGAAAAGGAGCAGCTGAGCATCTCCAGTGCCCCAGGAGATGCTGAAGGGCTGTTTTCCTGCCCGGGATGTCCCTTTCCCAAGGACACCAGTGCTGCCCAGGTGACGCTGGCTCAAGGCCCTCTACTTTGCACCCCTCCTGCTCACACCCATCCCAACCGTGTCCCATTCCTGACAGGACACTCTGGCAGCAGCATGGCTGCTGGTATGGCATCCCACATCCACGGCCGTGCCTCCCTGGCCCTGCTCACCTGCGAGCAGAGCGTTGCCTCCTCGTGGAAGTAGCCGTGCATGAACTCGCAGTACTCCCGCGTCGTGATCTCGCAGCTGGCAGAGGGCAGGCAGGGGGCTCGCTCGGGGCAGGGCACACTCCCTGCTCCCCTGAGCATCCCCCTCTGCTCCCAGCAGCTGGTCCTGCTGCCACCACACTTCCCACCCCACGAGGTTCCATAATCTCCCTCCCCACCCTGCCACAGCTCTGGACACTGATGGGACAACACGAGGCAGGAGGGCAGAGGAGGGAGCCAGGCCGGGTGCCCCCATCGCTGCGACCCACCTGCCCTTGGTGCCGATGCAGCAGGGCCTGCCCTTGATCTCACAGTCCAGGTGGGCGAAGCCTGTGTGGTTGGTTTTGGTCTCGTAGGTGCAGATCTAGAAGCAGGAGGGGGAGTAGCCCTGGTGAGGGTCCAGCCCCAGGCTCTGCCTGCAGCCCCCTGCCTGCTCATTGCCCGCTGCCACCACAGAGTCACCAGCTCACGGTGGCACGGGGCTCTTACCGGCCACTTGGTGATGTCATCTGGCCACACGTGGGGTGGGTTGGATGCTGGTTCCTCACACGTCCTGGTGGAAGCAGGTGGGTGAGTCAAGTGGGTTCCCCCGGACATCCCTCCCTGCAGACTAGTAATGCCCTCAGACACACACAGCCCTGGGACCTGCCCCTTTCCCTGGCTCGGGAGGGATCCTGCCCACCAAGGGGTGTCCTACAACACCCCACAGAAGCTCCTTCCACAGGTGAACCCCACAGCACTCCCACCACCCCACTGATGCCCTGACCAGCATCACCTATCCCAGCAGAACAGGGACCAGCCAACACAACAGTGTCACCCATTTAGGACAGGACCCACCCCAATTTCCCTACTGATTCCCTCTTCCTTCTCACTCTCCTATGGTATTCAAGAGCCACTTGGCCCCTTGGACAAGAGGATTCAAGGCATCCAAACTGCAAAGGCAGCCCTGGGCAGCCCCTCTGCCATGTCCTGCACACAGCCAGGTGATTGTGCCACCTCTGCCCAGCTGTCACTTCTACCTGGGGTCCTGGTGACACACAGCCCCTGATGTCCTCTTGTCCCCCGAGCCCATGGCTGGTGCATTGCTGCCCGGCCACTTGATGAACGTCGCCAGCGTCTCCTGCGGGAGGGATGGAGGGACTGAGGATGCGACAGGGAATGCACACTCTGACCCCACATGCACCGTGCCCTGGTGCTGTGCAGGGCAGAGATGGTTTCCCCCTTTTCCCCAGGGATCCCCAGCACC